TGGACCTAAAATATCCAAGACTTTGTCTTGGCAATTATAAAGCGAAAAGTCTACATCTTTCTTAGGTTTCCAACCAGTTTTGCTTAAAAACTGCATGATTTTGGGGTCAACTCGGGGTGTCTTACAGACCTCGTCAGGTACCGTGGGGCGTGGGCATTCAGCCCTCAGTTTATTTCATGTTGCTTTATCCAAAGGGCTTACGGACCCGGGATGTGACGTATTGCGCCACATGCTCAGCTGGTGACCATTCCGCAGAGCGGGAGTGACGTAAGTCATCGGGCTCGAACAATAGTTCACCCTGCGGGTCAAGGATTTTACCTTCTTTGTTTAAATCAGAACTGGACGTGCCAGTGATATGTATTTTAGTGGAGGGGTTACACTCCTTATCCTTTCCGTACTCCGAATCTAGGTCAGACAAATTGTTAGACTGATCAGAGTCTAGGGTAGGTGCACTCTCCTCATCTGAACTGAGTTCTGACTCAGTGGTATCAGGCTGGGCTTTAGCCCATTTCCAGTGTCTAGCCATTTTTGCCCGGCTAGAGGCTCTTTTGCGCAGTGATTCATTATTCGTGCCATCTGTGACGGGTGTTTTGCTGTCCATCATTAGTTTGGAGGAGTGCTTGGCTTTAGCCGAAGCTTTGCGGCCGGGAGCGTGGGGGGTGAGAAATAGATTGTATCACGACTGGCATGGCTGTCGGAGGGACCATTAATTGGGCCTGTATTAGTGCTTGGGTAAATGATTTCGAAATAGAAGAGGACATAATGTCCATGGCAGATGCCAGAGCTTTAGATACAGACTTGGACACAGTATGCTGCCCCGAGGACATGGCATTGACAACCTTATGGGAAGTCCAGCTAATTTTAGGGGTGAGATTTAGGCTTATCGATAGGGTTAGCAAGAAGGATTACATGTTACAGAAACACACCTAGGGTCCCTCCATCTTACTTTAAAATTCTAATTCTCTGGCTCCCACGTCTTCTCTTCCTGCTATCTTACAGCAGTTGAGCAGAGAAGATAGAAGACAATGCGGACAGGCTCCCGGGATTATTAGGTATTAAATAATTCAAAAACAGTTTAACATTGCAAAGGAACACTATAGGTTCCCACCCGCCCTGTCCTTACTTTTAAAAGGTGATTTTACTCACCTTTTTTCCGGTGCCGTGCTGGTCTCGTCTGGCCCTGCCTCCCTCCGCCTCAGTGGCTGAGACAATCTCTGCCAATCCAATACTCTAACATAGGAAACCATTGAGAGACGATTGTGTGATTGCTGTGCCAGTCACTTGTTTGTATACAATGTATTTCTCATACAAATTGTACTATCTTAGATTACATCTGCTATTAGAAATAAAAGCAACTGCATATTTCTAAAAAATTTAAGTAACACTGTACTGCCAGAAATACAAACATGTATTCCTGTCACTACAGTATTAAAAACACAATTTAGGTTCTGGCCCCCTTGCCCCTATTAAAAAGGGTTAAAAAGTACCTTTTTCCAGCACTGGCTGGTCATGCCCTCGCTCTGCCTCCTTGGCTGAGATCATCAAATTTGACTATCTTAGCCAATCCAATGCTTTACCATAGGAAAAAACAGGTTGCTGTGACAATCAACATCTCCTCACAGAGATGTATTGAAACAGAGTGTGGAGACACTGAACATCTATGCTGCACACTGTGAATCACTGACCCAGGAAGCACCTTTAGTAGCCGTCTGAGTGACAGCCACTAGAGGTGTTCATAGGGAGCAATGTTATCTCTGGAAAGGCAGTGTTTACATTAAAAAAAAACCTGCAGGGTCAGGCTACAGACACCAGAACAACTGTATTAAGCTGTTGTTGTTCTGGTGACTATAGTGTCCCTTTAAGGTAAAATGACACCAAGGGAATCCTATCCTCAAAATAACCTCATTGAGATTAAGTTGTTTTTGAGTTTAGAATGTTTTTTTTTTTTTAAGATAACAGTTCGGGTTCTGAGCAGAAGACGACGTGGGCTGCAAGTGTATTCATATGATGAACACTGGGAATCACAGTTTTTTGCCTGTCCACACTAGTTAGGGTATCAGTGCCCTAACAGTCCCCTGACTCTCACTATAATTCTGCTATGGCAAAATAGCAATAATAAAACAGCTGGTTTGAAACCATTAAAATTCTTATTTAAATTGCTATTCATTACAATATGAAGCCCTGATGTCTTTCGCTCCACTGATGCCTCCTCTTACGCTGTCAAGTTTTGTAGTGGCACTAGATTCTCAAAGGTAAAATCTTGCCAATCCAGAGGCAAAATAGTTAAAAGAAAAATCTTAATTTGTTTTGTGCTTTCCCAAACTGGATATTTATTTATTTATTTGTTTTATTATATTTTAGAGATCCTTAAACAGGAAATGACACAAAGCCAGAACCCCGCAGTTTACCAACTCCCCCTCCATTTTCTGCCTGGAATATTGTGAAGATTATTTTTATTTGGCTAATAACAGCAACATTTATGTCCCCTTTGGCTCATTTATTCCAGCAGTGCCTGGAATTGAGTTTCAAGAAATGTGCAGTAAATCTTTTCTAAGCTAAAGCATATCATGTGTCTGCCTATTATTACATATAAACTATATACATTTATATATTAACATTATAAATATCAAATACAGCAATACAGTATTAAGTCCATGTTTTTTCCTGAGGTAAATACTTTTACAATTTTAATTGGAGCAAGTCTGTTTCTAACAGTGGGAAAGGTTAAACCAAAACATAGAGGAACACTACAGGATCAGGAACACAAAGTGTATTCCTGACCGTATAGTGTTAAAACCACAATTTAGGTTGCTTACCCCCCTTATTCCCCTTAAAAGGTAATACAGCCTACCTTATTTCCAGCACCGCGCTTGTCTGCCGGAGCTGGCTCCGCCCCGATCCGCCTCCTTGCTGACATCATCAGAATGTATTATTTCAGCCAATCCAATGCTTTCTGCTCAGAACCCGAACATAGCGAATGCACTTAATTGGCTGAAATCAGCAAAGAGGTGGGACAAGGGCAGGGGCCAAACCCCTGCTTGGCCAATCAGCACCTCCTCACAGAGAGGACTGTCCCAGGAAGCACCTCCAGTGGCCATCTGAGGAGTGGACACTGGAGGTGTCCCTAGGGGGCGATGTAAACACTGCCTTTTCATTGGGATACATATACTAAACAATTATTTTTATTTATTTATAGTATTTGCAGTGATGTATGGAAACTTCACAAAAGACCTGTGCTTGCCTATGGGAATTGATATATGAGATGTAATTGCTGTATAAGGTTTGAATGCTGAATGAATATTACCTCGCCAAATTGAAGAATTATAATAAATACATTATAAGTTTGTTTTATTCCAGGTAAAGATTGTGGCAGCCTATCCCTTCTTAAGATTTCAACATAAGCTAGTAAAGGAGAAAAATTCCTATGGAACACAGAAACAATATTGCAGTCTCACTTTAAGATGAAAAATAATGGATTTGCATTGACATATAGAAAACATGTGCTGCCTTACATAATGTCTAGGTATACCACCTTTATTACGATTATTAGAGTGCTCCCAATATTATTAATGTCAGGGCCACCACATGTTGCCCATGAGTGGGTGCCTGGGCTGGTCACTATGTCTTCCCCCATTAATATCAGGGTAGCTCCCACCCGATGCCCATGGGCTTTCAACAAAGTAACCCCCCACGCCTCCTTATTCCATAGGCGACGTTGCCATCAGGCCTTTTTTAGCACCTTGGCAGCAATGACTGGGCAGCAATGCAGTCGGGATTCATTTCATTCATTTTAGTTTAGTGGGTAACACTGATAGAATATGGGAAGAAAGGAAGGTAATCAATTTCTCCCGATATGGTATATTTTGAATCCTCAGAACTCCTTATTTAGTTCTTTACTTTTCAAAACACTGGAAGTGTGGGCTTCTAACATGCCATTTTAGTGACTCAGTTCTCAACATGGATTAATTCATTTGGATCTCAAATCTTATCCTGGATAACTGATGATTTAATAACCACAGTAAAAAAGAGTTTCATTGTAAAAATGTTTATTTTTACATTTGGGCACCAAGTTTGTTTGTTCTTATTTACCAAAATGTAACAACTTGTAAAAACCAACTTAGTATTAATGAACTATTGCAATTATTGGCCAATCTTTTGTTTACTTAATCATCTCTTAAGTATGTAGACGTGTTGTCCAGAAAGTCCAACATAAGATTCCAATAAGAAAATATCTATGTAAAAGTCGAAGTCATTTTCAGCAAATATATTAATTTCATGCAAGCAACTTTCAAGGAGACCTATATCTATTCCAGCACCAGACTTTACGGGTTCTTGGTGATTTTAATTACGTCAACAATTATTTTTCAGTTTGTGATGTTACGTTTTATACTTCATTTCACATTAAGGCCGTGCTGGTTATGGTTTATTTATTTTAATGTAAATACCTTTTTATTAAGAGATTTCAATATGCATACAGAAAAAGAATACAAAATAATATTTACTGTATACATAGTAAACAGTAAATATTGCTGGTACGTGCTATCCTCCGATTCATAGTTCTGATATATGATAAAATTATCTTCAAACTAGAACATTCATGAGGAAGAAGTGGGAAGGAATGAAAGATGGGAAAAGGTGGAAGAAAGAAAAAAAAGGGGGAATGATAAAGGATGCGTATGAAGAGTATTTATTTTGTTGTTAAACTACATTATGGATACAGGTGAATCTGCTTGGATTCTGAGAAAGTAGGGGAGGGTGCCCATTTGGTAAAATTCGGATGCCAACCATCATGCATGTGGCAGCAAAGGAACCAGTAGGCCCAGTTGATTATGTCCAGGTTCTCTGTGTCCAAGTGACCCCCCCCCACACCTCCAGTTCCCAATGTACTGTTGTTGGAAATCAGCTGAAAAAGGTGAAATCAGCCATTGTGCCCAGATTTTGGTTTAAGTGTGCATTTTATTATGGGAGGGATACCATAGCTGCTCCAATGTCCTCACATCCTCCATCCTAGTAAACCAAAGGGATAATAGTGGTGTGTGTGTCTTTTCTTCCAGAAGAGAGGTATAATTTGCTTTGCTATGTTCAGGATGCAGATTATCAGAGAGTGTGAGGGGGTTGCGGTGTGATGGAGTAGGTTAATGGCCGAGAGGAATGGTGGTGGGTTATTAGAGAACATTCTAATGTTGGAAGCAATGCTTCTCCAAAAGGGTACTATATCCTGACATTCCATATGTGAAGTAAAGAACACGGGTATCTTCCACACCTCAAGCATAAGCCATGTAGTTTAGGGTGTAAATCCCAGAGATGCTCTGGCACCATGCACCACTAAAAGAGAATTTCATAAGGTGATTCATGGGTCTTGCTGACTATGACACAGTGATGAACTAGGTGACATATTTTGTGACACTGGGCTTCAGTAAAGGTCTCTCCAATGCAGGGTCAGTTCTAGACATTGTGCTGTCTCATTCAAAGGATGAAATGTTGCCCCCCCACAAAACCTTGCGCACATCCATTATGTTACGTAGTGTGTGCAGTGAATGTAGTTTCTGTGCAGGAGATGCAGTGTATTATATCCATTGTGTACAGGGAATGTATTGTGTGCATGTGTATAGTAGATACAGAGCGTATTTTTGTGCAGTGGATGCAGTGTGTGTAGTGGATGCAGAGTGTGTAGTGGATGCAGTGTCTGTATTTGCATAGTGGATGCGGTGCCTGTGAAGTGGATGCAGTATAGTGGGTCCAGTCTTTGTGAAGTGGATGCAGTGTAGTGGGTGCAGTGTCTGTGTGTGTAGTAAATGCAATGTAGTGGGTGGAGTGTCTGTGTAGTAGATGCAGTGTAGTGGGTGCAGTGCCTGTGTGTACTGTCTCTGTGTGTAGTAAATGCAATGTAGTGGGTGCAGTGACTGGGTAGTGGATGCAGTGCAGTGGGTGCGATGTCTGTGTTTGTGCAGTGGGTGCAATGTCTGTGTAGTGGATGCAGTATCTGTGTTTGTGCACTGGGTGTAGTGTGTGTAGTAGGGCTGGATAAGGGCTGTGACTAAAGATACATGTTTTTCATAATTATAATTTAGTTTTTCTTTACCTCCCTGCCTCTTACCTGTGGTCAGGGAGGGGAAAAACTATTTCCCTGGTAGTTTAGTGGCACAGCATGCCATCTCCTGCAGCATTAGGTCCTCTCCTCTTGTGAGTGTTGCCTGAGATTGTAAAGCATGCTGGGAGCATTGCAATGCCAACCTGCAGCAACACTCTCACAACTCATGACAGAAGAGGTCCTAATGCTGCAAGGGGTACAAGATTAAACTCCTGGGCCCCTTCTTCACAGGACATGCCAGCAGGGGCATGGCACAGCATATATATGTGTGTATATATACAGCAGTACTTGCTATTTATATGCAAATAGGCGGCATGGGTCCTGCACAAGTGATTTGTGTACTGTTAAAGTGCCACCTGGAGCCATGACCCTGCTCCAATGACTAGTTCCCATATTGAGAAAAAGGATGGGGGAGGATGCCCCAATGCTGTTGAAGGGTGGTATATAGGAATGATATGCTATGGGTTACAGGGTCTGGGTCCTGATATAGAAGCTCAAAGGGTTTCAGGTCTCTAAACAGGTTAGGTTGTTGTAGCCATGCATTTACACACATTGAAATTGTATTATAAAGTTAGTTGTTGGTCAATGAGTTTGGTAAGAGGTATAATCTTGCCCTCTGCGACCATATGGCGGACCCAGGGCAACCTATGCAAGAAAAATGCAGCTTAGTCCCCTTGACCCCTCACCTGGTGCAAAGTCTAAATTATGAGTCAAAGGTAAGAGGGAGCGAAGGGAATGAAGACAGTCCAATTTTGGTGGCCTGTGATTAGCATATTATCATCATGGCCTTAATAATGGCTGCGAGAAAAACATTGGTCTGCAGGTGAAGGGGTTCAAAAACAGCCACAGGAGAGCAGAAAGTGGTCTACCCACTTGGTGTGACTTAATTGATTTCCAAGGTTTCTGTATCCCATCTTTAGCTTACTTAACTACACAGAGTAAGTGACTGGTGTTGAAGTAGAGCTTGAAGTAAGATATGGCCATATCTCCCCTGGCCCTGGGCAGTGTCAGCTGCAAGAATCTTTGCCTAGGTTTGGTACCCTTCCATATAAATATAATTAATAGGGTGAGCAATGAGGTAAATAATGCTGAAGATATGTTAATTGGAATGGTTAGGAAAAGATACAGGATTCTCGGCATTATATTAATTCTAGTAACCGCCACTTGCTCCATCCAGGAGATTTCCAGCAGCACCCACTTAGTCAGGTTTTTTGGATGATGTTGAGCATGGGTATGAAATTTGTTTGATACAGACGTGTCAAGTCTTTAGTAAGCCAGATTGCTGGTTATGGTTTATTTCACAAATACTTCACTGCTCTTCAATCGATACTTCTATTATCACTGGCATCATGACTGTGCCACATCATGATGCATTACACCATATTGGAGAAACCCTAAAGTAATTGGGCCAAGGGGCAACCTGATTTTAAATTCAGCCCCATACTTTTCACTTGACCAAGCATGGAAAATTGCTGCAGACGCCAATGAATATTATATTACACAGTAGTTGTTACAGTTAAACTGCCTGTTCTCTCTGCCAAGGTCTTTTATATTATTCGGAAAATGTGCCAAATTTCTGAATCATAGAGAGCTACAGATTCCTTTTCAATTTTTAGTAATATAATTGGATACTGGTAATTTCTCGCCAGGTCCTGGACTAAGTTAATTAGGAAATTTAAAAAACCACAGCTGTGGGACGGTAACACCCATCGCCTTAATATTATTTTAAATAAAATCATGTCAAATAAGCAGTGTTAAATACATATTTAGAAAAATAAAAAAAACTTTTAAAATAAGCACAGGTCTAAAGCTTGCATTAAATGCCAAGACTGCATGATAATGGGGCTAGAGGCTAAAGCTCTGAAATATCCAGGAAATCCAAGCTAGTTATCGCCTATGGCAATGCACTGTATTTTTTAAATGCGGCTGAAAAAAAGAATAAAAGTCTTTTTATTATGAAATCTTATCTGCATATCAAAGAAAGATCTCAAAATGTGAACGGGGAGTTATGCATTCGAATAGTATGTCAACAGCTAAGATGGTCAGAAGAAAAAGGTGGTCCAAGCATTCCATCAATTCAAGCAGTTTTATTGGACATGAACACACATTGCAACGTTTCAGCCCACAACAGGGCCTTTGTTAAGTTGTGGGCCGAAACATTGCAATGTTTGTACATGTCCAATAAAACTGCTTGAATTGAAGGAGTGCCATTTTTTGTTGACCACCTTTTTCTTCTGAGTATATGCCATTGAGGGATTGCCATCCCTTGTTCAAGAGCACCCTATCACTGTTTATATGAGTGTGGCTCCCTTTTCTATTGTGGACAAAAGCTAAGGTGGTGTCACGTGACTGTATAGTCAATCATTTTTAACTATACTATTAACGCAAGGTAATTCAGAACAAATTCCAGGAAACAACTATGTATGAATCCTATAGTTGTACTGCTAGTATCTAACTTCTTGATTTATTTGGCATAGGTCTGCAAACTGAATCACTTGTTAAAAGATCTAAAAGGGACGCTATAGTAACCCAGACCAATTATTATTATTATTATTATTGGCATTTATATGGCGCCAACGAATTCCGTAGCGCTTTACAATATAATAGAAGTGGGAGATTTAACAACAAATGAGACAATTACAACAACTTACAGGAACAATAGGATGAAGAGGACCCTTAAAACGAGTTTAGAGTATATAGGAGGTGAGCTATAAAACACAGTAGTACAGGAGACAGCAATCAAACAAGGTGGGAGTGAGGCAGAGCTGGAGGAGAGAGTAGAGTTCTGCCCTTTAGGAGAGAGCAAGGGGCAAGTATGAGAGGTAGAGGTTACTCTGGGAGGCCATACGCTTTCCTGAAGAGATGGGTTTAAAGGCATTTTTTAAATGATTGAAGATTAGGAGAAAGTCTGACGGTGGTAGGCAGGTTATTCCAAAGGATGAGAGCCACCCACGAGAAGTCCAGCAAGCGTGAGTAGTGGTGCAATCAGCGGACAGGAGAAAGTCATGGACAGAGCGGAGAGACCAAGAAGGGGCATCCTTATGGATCAGTGAAGAGATATAAGAGGGGCTAGAATTGTTCAGTTCTTTATAGGTGTAGATTCGTACTTTGAATTGACTCCTATAGCATATGTGAAGCCAATGTAAGGACTGACAGAGGGGTGGGGAGTGAGAGGAGTGACTGGAGAGGAAAATCGGTCTGGCGGCAGCATTCATTACAGACTGTAGCGGGGCAATGTGGCTTCTAGAAAGACTAATTAAGAGAGGGTTACAATAATCCATATGAGAGATTACTAGAGCATGGACAAGCTCCTTAGTAGTATCCTGCGTAAGAAAGGGGCAGATGTGGGCAATGCTTTTAAGGTGGAATCGACAGGATTTGGTGACAGACTGGTTGTGAGGATCAAAGGTGAGGCCAGAGTCAAGTATAATGGCAAGACAGCGTTCTTGCAAGGATGAGCTAATGTGTGTACCACTAACTTGAAAAGAGAGTTAAAGGGGAGGATCAGTATTAGGAGGAGGAAAAATAAGGAGCTCAGTTTAAGATAGATTGAGTTTTAGAAAGTGGGAGGACATCCAGGCAGGGATAGAAGAAAGGCAGTTGGTGATACATTGTAAGACAGCAAAATGAAAGGTCAGGGGAGGAGAGATTTATTTGGGTGTCATCAGCGTACAGGTGGTAGTGGAATCCAAATGAATAAATGAGTTTGCCATGAGAGGCAGTATAGAGGGAGAACAAAAGGGGACCAAAAACCGAACCTTGAGGGATTCCGACTAGGACAGGATGAGGGAAGGAGGTGTCAAATTGATGATTGGAAAAGGAGAAACTGAATGAACGTTGGAAGAGATAGTAGGAGAATCATGAGAGGACTGTGTCACAGAGACCAAGAGATTGAAGAGCTTGGAGAAGGAGGCCATGATCAACAATGTCAAAGTTAGCAGAGAGGTTGAGAAGCATTAGTAGTCACCTTTGGATTTAGCCACAATTAGATCATTTGTAACTTTAATCAAATTGGTCTCTGTGGAGTGGAGGGGGTGGAATCCAGACTGAAGAGGGTCGAGGAGAGAGTTAGAATTGAGGAAGCAAGTCAGATGGATAAAGACAATATTTCCAGAAGTTTTGAGATAAAAGGGAGCAGAGATATGGAACGATAGTTGAAGGGGAAACTTGGTCAAGACATGGCGTTTTTAGGACGGTTTCAATAGTAGCATACTTAAGAGGAGCAGGGACAACACCGGAGGAAAGAGAGCAGTTGAAGATGTATGTTAAGGATGGCATAAGACAAAGGGCAAGAGATCTGATAAGGTGAGACGGGATGGGATCAAGCAGACATGTGGTGGGACGAGATAAAAAGGAGAAGGGCAGCCCAGGAGTGTACTTAGAGCATTTGGCGCCCGGGGAGGATTCTGTGTGTGCCCCCAGTCACACACAGACACACACTCACATGCAGTCACACACACACAATGATAAGGGAGGGATGGATGAGAGTTCAGAATGGATATCAGTTGAGAGCTGCTGGAGGTTAAGAGAATTCAGGTTCCTCCTGAGTTGAGGGGGGTTAGGCTGAGAATGCTGGGTGCGTGGGCACTTGAGATCAAATGATAGGAAGTGGTTGTATAGAGGAAATAGAGTATTACAGAGATTGGAGACTGTGCATGTATTTGAAAAAATAAGATCTAGGGTATTGCCAGATATATGTGTGGAAGAATTATCCCACTGCGATAGTCCTTTTGAGTAGGTGATTGAAAAGAGTTTTGAGGCAACTGAGGTCATGGGTGGGTTAATGGGAATGTTGAAATCCCCGACAATTAGGGATGGGATATTGCTTGAAAGGAAGTAAGAAAGCCAGGCAACAAAACAGTCAAGGAAGGGGAACCAGGAGGGCGATAAATAACTGTAGTATTTGCAGATATAGCTTTGAGCAAATAAATTGAGTGTATTTCAAAGGAGGAAAACGAGAGGGAAGGTGGAGTGGGTAGAGGTTTGAAGGAGCAGTGGGATGAAAGCAGAAACCCTATACTGCCATCCTTATCATCAGACTGTCTTGGTTTGTGAGTAAACTGTAGACTACCAAAGGATAATGAGGCAGGGGTAGCTGTGTCAGAGGGAGAGACAAGTTTTACTTCATCTAAATGCAGTGGTCTGGGTGCAATGCCCTGACCTTTGAGAAAATGCAATGTTTACATTGCAGGGCGAATGACTCCTATAGTGGCTGTCTAACAGATAGCCACTATAGGCACTTCCACAGCACAGACAGAGTAAAGCTTGTTCATGTGATGTGGAATTCCCATAGGAAAGCACATGTGTATAAGGTCCCCAATGCTTCTCTATGAAGAGGATTAAATTAGACCCTCAGGGAAGAAGCATTGCCTGCTTCATGTTTTCAGCAGGAGATAGAAGGTCAAGGGCACCAAGGGAGCCTCAGCTCTGGAAACAGGTAAATAAATATTTATTTATTTTCTATTGCTCGAGGGGTGGGTGGCACCTATTTAGAGCTAAGTCAGCTACGCTCTCAGTTTAGCTACTTTGGCCTTACATTTGAAATTCACTTTGAATTTACTTTGTAAATAATCATGTAGGTGTTCCGATAAGCTCCACCTAACAGCTACAGATGTTTTACCTGTGGTAACTGACAACCAATTTTCACATAAATGTTAATGTAAGAATGGTTTTCAATTGTCACTCTTTAACAGATGCTGAAGGTTTGGATAGCCCATATATCATATATATATTTAAAGTCAGGCTCAAAATATAGAAGGAGCGTTCATCCCATGCTCTGTCTCAGGTATAGGTGACAAAGTGCCTTATAATAATTAGACACTGGACATGCTATGAAAACCGGTGTATGGGTGAAGCGCTATATACAAATGGATAATCAAAGTGGAGAAATAATGCCCCGTGATGAACACCAAAATATTTAAGAGATACCTTCTGTTTATATAATTCACAATAATCCTTTATAGGAATTTCCTAAAAGCATAAACAGAAAAATACAAACATAGTGCAAATCTGTAATAGTGAAAGGTGTGGTAGAAATATACAATGGTCCCACTCACACTTTTAGGAGCTAAAAGGGTATAGCTCAATTGAAGCGCTTTCAGAGTCCGTAGAGGCGACTCTTATCCCTTCTTTTAACTCTTCCTTTCTTGTATTCTGGAATGTATAAAGGGAAATACCTCTGGTGCAATAACGTAGGCTGAATGTGTGTATAATAGAAAGGGAAATAGGGTACTTACAAACCCAGAGCCATCCACATCGGCTCTGATCCAATAGCTTATGTGGATTAAGCACCACACTCCTTCTTTGTTAATAGCAGGAAAATGCCAATAGTGTATCTCCAAAATATAAACTTTATTGACTATATATACAATAAAAGTGCAATTAAATATAAAAAATTATATATACAAAAATCACTATAATGGCATAAAAAAGTCCAGTAAATCAAAAGTCTTATAGCTCACAAAATTCCCAGGACGCGTTTCGCCGTAAAGGCTTCCTCAGCTGGATGTGAAAAAGTCTGTTACCTTCTTGTACTGGTTCCTGCTATATGTACCCCTCCTGGGGTGAAAATGCTTGCTTTTCGGCTTTGATTTTCGCGGGCTATCACCATGAAGATGGTGACGCCCAGCGTGTCAAGCCTCTTTCCTTTTCCATTTCCGTGTTTCGGCGTCGGAACGTCACTTCCGGTTTTTTCAATCGCAAGCCGTCGCGTCATATCCGTGCGTTCCAGCTTGCGTTCCAGCTGCGTTCCGGCTTGCGGTTCAGCTTTCCTGTGTTGTATTACACCGGCCTCATTGCAGGCAGACAGAATTTGACAGGGGGAGAACACAACATTTGTACATGTTCATTAAATTCTACAATCTTCACCCAAATTCTTTGTGTATGATTACAGTCCAGAAATCCTATGTGTACATATATATATTTTTCATATGATACAAATATATAGCCATCTTTGCTCTTTACTATTTAGGTAATTAAAAAAATAGTGACTATGTACATAATATCAAATAATTTTAAAACCCCAAAACTATATATATTTCACCAGAAATCCATAAAAATATTTAATAAAAAAAATATTTTATCCTTGTCACTTATAAAAAAAGAAAACTAAAAACACTTATGCGAGTAATGACTTCTAAGAGTAAATAAAACTTAACCATATCCAGTAGGGAATGTGTATATACACAAAAGATGAAAATCCACTAAAAGGAAATATAAAAATTAACAAAAAAGATATAAAATAGAACTGTAAAAGAGACTGCAGACTTAAAATAACCTATTTCAAAAAATGACACATTTCGAAATCTGCATTTAATCCATTAGGAATCAAAGTGTCTAATTTAAAAATCCACTCCATTTCACATTTACTCATTTTTACATCAAAATTACCTCCTCTCCAATCTTTTCCCACTTTTTTTATCCCTAAAAAGATGGTATCTTTAGTTTCACAATTATGATAATTTTTATAATGTAAAGATACACTGTGTTTTTCAAAACCCTTTGTAATATTCCGTCCATGCTCTTCTATTCTCGTATGTAGTTGTCTTGTGGTTTTCCCTATATACTTTAGGCCACAAGGGCATATAATTAAATAGATAAGATTCTTAGAGTAACACGTAATAAAATCTTTAATTTGATATTCTATTCCCTCTTTATTTGTATATAAAATAAATATACAAATAAAGAGGGAATAGAATATCAAATTAAAGATTTTATTACGTGTTACTCTAAGAATCTTATCTATTTAATTATATGCCCTTGTGGCCTAAAGTATATAGGGAAAACCACAAGACAACTACATACGAGAATAGAAGAGCATGGACGGAATATTACAAAGGGTTTTGAAAAACACAGTGTATCTTTACATTATAAAAATTATCATAATTATGAAACTAAAGATACCATCTTTTTAGGGATAAAAAAAGTGGGAAAAGATTGGAGAGGAGGTAATTTTGATGTAAAAATGAGTAAATGTGAAATGGAGTGGATTTTTAAATTAGACACTTTGATTCCTAATGGATTAAATGCAGATTTCGAAATGTGTCATTTTTTGAAATAGGTTATTTTAAGTCTGCAGTCTCTTTTACAGTTCTATTTTATATCTTTTTTGTTAATTTTTATATTTCCTTTTAGTGGATTTTCATCTTTTGTGTATATACACATTCCCTACTGGATATGGTTAAGTTTTATTTACTCTTAGAAGTCATTTCTCGCATAAGTGTTTTTAGTTTTCTTTTTTTATAAGTGACAAGGATAAAATATTTTTTTTATTAAATATTTTTATGGATTTCTGGTGAAATATATATAGTTTTGGGGTTTTAAAATTATTTGATATTATGTACATAGTCACTATTTTTTTAATTACCTAAATAGTAAAGAGCAAAGATGGCTATATATTTGTATCATATGAAAAATATATATATGTACACATAGGATTTCTGGACTGTAATCATACACAAAGAATTTGGGTGAAGATTGTAGAATTTAATGAACATGTACAAATGTTGTGTTCTCCCCCTGTCAAATTCTGTCTGCCTGCAATGAGGCCGGTGTAATACAACACAGGAAAGCTGAACCGCAAGCCGGAACGCAGCTGGAACGCAAGCTGGAACGCACGGATATGACGCGACGGCTTGCGATTGAAAAAACCGGAAGTGACGTTCCGACGCCGAAACACGGAAATGGAAAAGGAAAGAGGCTTGACACGCTGGGCGTCACCATCTTCATGGTGATAGCCCGCGAAAATCAAAGCCGAAAAGCAAGCATTTTCACCCCAGGAGGGGTACATATAGCAGGAACCAGTACAAGAAGGTAACAGACTTTTTCACATCCAGCTGAGGAAGCCTTTACGGCGAAACGCGTCCTGGGAATTTTGTGAGCTATAAGACTTTTGATTTACTGGACTTTTTTATGCCATTATAGTGATTTTTGTATATATAATTTTTTATATTTAATTGCACTTTTATTGTATATATAGTCAATAAAGTTTATATTTTGGAGATACACTATTGGCATTTTCCTGCTATTAACAAAGAAGGAGTGTGGTCCTTAATCCACATAAGCTATTGGATCAGAGCCGATGTGGATGGCTCTGGGTTTGTAAGTACCCTATTTCCCTTTCTATTATACACACATTCAGCCTACGTTATTGCACCAGAGGTATTTCCCTTTATACATTCCAGAATACAAGAAAGGAAGAGTTAAAAGAAGGGATAAGAGTCGCCTCTACGGACTCTGAAAGCGCTTCAATTGAGCTATACCCTTTTAGCTCCTAAAAGTGTGAGTGGGACCATTGTATATTTCTACCACACCTTACACTATTACAGATTTGCACTATGTTTGTATTTTTCTGTTTATGCTTTTAGGAAATTCCTATAAAGGATTATTGTGAATTATATAAACAGAAGGTATCTCTTAAATATTTTGGTGTTCATCACGGGGCATTATTTCTCCACTTTGATTATCCATTTGTATATAGCGCTTCACCCATACACCGGTTTTCACTGTATTCTTGAAAGATAAGATTGGGGTGTTACAGCAGCAGAAAATTAGTGGTATCTTTGATATTACTATAATATATTTTATCTATTATCAGCGCTGGTACTTTACCTGTTTACTGGACATGCTATGTCCAAGTGACAAGTTCTGTGGTCTATACAAATGACTAATCTTTGCTGCATGCAGTAAAGTGGTCTAAAAAGACCTTGTTAGCAGAGAAGGATAGCTGATATGAATAGTCTTAGTGGTAAGGATAGTAGCAATGTCTTAAAGGATACATTGTAACAAGTATAAGAGAAACTTAGATAACAAAGGAAAAATAAACTAGCATAAACGGTCAAACAGTATGGCAGTGTTGAAACAGTTTCTAACTTGTGCACATTGATACTAAGCTCTCAGCCCCCACATAGTAGACTTACCAGCTGCCTGCATAGTGCAAATTAACATATAGACACTAACCAGCTACCCCTGCTGCTTCAAGGCAGCCTATGTCCACTATCCAGCTAACACTGCTGCTTCAAGGCAGCCTATCTGATAAGTCCCAAAGTACTGACTTGAACTTAGCATTAAGACACTAAAAAATCATGGCAAACAAAGAAAGTCTACCCCGGGATAAAGTTAAAAAACATAATAGTGCATCGGCATAGAGCTTGACGCGCTTTTCGGTGAGAATGACTGCCTTTCTCAAGAGCTGGTAGGCATCTGAACAGTATCTGTTATAAGGGAAAAGGGGGAAGTGAAACTCGTCCCTCGCTTGGAAACCAACCAATAGCGTGAACAGGGAAGTAGACTGTGGGAGGTTCAAACCTCTCCTCCGATCTCCACCTGGTATTAGCATGTTGCACACACACATGGCAAAATTAGGTGTGTTTACATTCCGATATAGTTACTAAGTGGTATAGAGGAGGGGTCTATTTTCCATCCCTGCATGGTAAATCCCAGGTAAAGTAAACCATCAAGCAATCAAAGGATTGGGTTACTTGATGGTGAAAAGATTTTTACCGCGGAGTAGGGTAGCCCTTAAATTATGGGATAACAAATAGTGAGTTTGTCATCCCATGCCTCACATGGTTTGGACCCAGTGTGCAGACGAGTTTTATCAATGGGTGAAAAGGATCTCTCATTAAATGAAGAGTATACTGTAAAGCCATACACTGTATATAAATATATATATATCATCAACTAATGAAGAAAAAAAAAGGGTAAATCTACTAAGTGAATAATTTTTCCAAGGAACGGGGCCGTCTGTGAGGGGGAAAGTGCCGACTTCTGTCTGTTCTCTACGAAACCCAAGGATTCCAGAAAGTGAACAACAAATTTTGTTTGCAATCGTAGCCTGGATGGGGTTTTGCAGACGATTAGGGATCTCTTCATCCACGAGAAGGTCGTGCTCCCGTGACATGCGTAACAGGGTTGGAGGAGAGGTTTGGATCGGTTGTGAGTAGAACTCCATGATGTAACCCTGCACCGTTTGTAAAATCCATGCGTCTCCCGAGATTGCTCTCCAATTCTGAAAAAAAAAAAGACAGGTTGCCAGCAGTACAGTTGGAAACAAGAAGGCCAGAAATGGGACCCACCTGTAGCGAAATGTCCACGACCTCTGCCTCTGGTTCCTCTGGCTCTATCTGAGCCTCTGTAGTATGAGGACCTCTGTGCAGTGGTCGGGTAGAAGTTGGATGAAAGAGGATAGGATCTGAAGCCTGTAGACCAGAATCGGCTGGTGGTTCGGCTCCGTTGCCAACCAGCCCTCCCAAAAACATCCCTGTTAGGTGGGGCAAGAAAAAAACAGTTTGAGCGATCATTGCACCTTACTTAAAGGGACACTATAGTCACCAGAACAACTACAGCTCATTATATTTGTTCTGGTGAGTTGAACTTATTACCTTGAGGCTTTTTGCTGTAAGCACTGTCTTTTCAGAGAAAATGCAGTGTTTGCATTACAGCCTAACTTCACTGGCCACTCCTCAGATGGCTGTTATAGATCCTTCCTGGGTCATGGCTGCCATCCAAACATTCAGTGTCTCCTCCCTCTGTATGCAGACACTGAACTTTCCTCATAGAGATTCATTGATTCAAATCATCTTTTTGAGGAGATGTTGTTTGGCCAGGGCTGTGTCTGACTTGTGCTGGCTCTGCCCCTGATCTGCCTCTTTGTCAGTCTCAGCCAATCCTATGGGGAAGCATTGTGATTGGATCAGGCCACCACTTCTGGTGATGTCAGAGGAAGTTCACAGGCAGAGGCAGCAGCTTCAGACTTGAATACAGGTAAGATTTTACTATATTTAGGGAGGCAAAGGGAGCTAAGAGGGCTAGATAGTGGTTTTAACACTATAGAATCAGGAATACATGTTTGTGTTCCTGAACCTATAGTGCTCCTTTAAGGTCATAAACAGGTTGATGTGCTTTTCCAATTGGGCAATGAAAGGTTCCCAGAAGAGAAGACCTTTTGCCAGGGGCCTGAGCTCGTTTGATCCTAATTCCAGCAATTTCGTGTCAATTCTTAGCAGAGCTTGCATTTTTGGTTTTAGTGGGATGGCATGGATTCGGCTGAGACAGGAGGAGGGTGAGAGTCTGGAGTTCATCCACTAGAGAAACTCATTGTGACAGTAGTCACCATCACTTGGAGCATAAGATGTGCACTTCATGTAGGTCCCCCTAACTTATGTTTAAGTTACCCTGTGCACATTTTATGTTCAGGGTTTGTTTGTATTGTATTTATGAAATGTTTTCTCTCCTGTCCTGCTGATGCTCTCTACCAACTAGGTGGATTTTGCTATGGAGTCTGTACAGCGCCACCTCTTGGTTGTTAATGATCTTGCAAGCCTGTACAGTGCTATCTGTTGGTTGCGAAGATTATGCAGCAGGTAAATGCAGCGACACCTGTTCATTGTAACTGTTATGTGCACTACCTGAAAGGCAATACTCAATAATTTGCATATGCAGGTAGATTTGCATATTATGGTTTCTTCCGCTACACTCATTCAAAGGTAAATATATATGTTCTTTTAATTTTCAAGTTTAAGGCAGACGTGATTTTTGCCTAGGTATTGGGCATTCTTTTTGTAGCTTATATTTGCCATTAAATTGATATTATAGTTTTCTGACACTATAGTGCTAAACTAACTATTTAGGTCCCTACGCCCCTTGCATCTCTTATCTCAATCTTGATGATCTCAGCCAAGCAAATTCTTTCCCATAGGAAAGTATTGGGAGACTATTGGGAGACTATTGTTCATGCGCGACAAAATGTGTCATACAAACAATGCATCTCTATGAGGAATTTTCAGCCCCTCCATGCATAGGGTGGAGACGCTGAATGCCAGTGCTGCATAATGTGTATCACTGGACTAGGAAGCACCTCTGAGTGTCTGCCACTAAAGGTGTTTCTAGGCAGCAATGTTATCACTACTGTTTGCAGTGCTAGCACTGAAGAGACATGTCATAGACACTAGAAAAACTACATTGAGCTGTAGTGGTCCTAGTGACTATATTGTCCCATTAAGTAAATGGAGTGTGTAATAACTTAAAATGTATTCCCAAAACTTTAACCCCTTAAGGACCAAACTTCTGGAATAAAAGCGAATCATGACATGTCACACATCATGTGTCCTTAAGGGGTTAAAGACATCTAAAAGAGCATGCCCTTGGCATTTTTATTTAAACCATGTGGTATGTATATTTACTGAGTAGCAAGACTCTCAATCAGTTAGAAATTATCCTTTGTAATTCTTGTCTAAGGAAAGACAGAGTTGACTAGTTTAAAAAATAACAAGTGCACACTATGTGGGGCATGGAGAAAATACACCAGTACACCAGGAGGCAGAAAGGAAATCATTTATTTGTAAAATAAAAGGGACTTTTTGCATATTTATCAAAGTGTGCATTTCTAACTAATGTTTTAAGAAATGCTGACCCAATTTCTGAAATATGTTGGATTTTTCACTACCATTTTTGCCCTGTGCTAAAAACGGATCTGGATGAAATCCATTTGTTATAACTCTCAATGCGTTAAGACTAAAATGTAACTTTGTAGCCTTTCGTAAATATAGCCTTGGTGTCAAATTTCTTTTATCTAGATTTTCTACAGATGGTAACCAGAAAATAGGGTATTTGGGTGAAGATTGTAGAATTTAATGAACATGTACAAATGTTGTGTTCTCCCCCTGTCAAATTCTGTCTGCCTGCAATGAGGCCGGTGTAATACAACACAGGAAAGCTGAACCGCAAGCCGGAACGCAGCTGGAACGCAAGCTGGAACGCACGGATATGACGCGACGGCTTGCGATTGAAAAAACCGGAAGTGACGTTCCGACGGCGAAACCCGGAAATGGAAAAGGAAAGAGGCTTGACACGCTGGGCGTCACCATCTTCATGGTGATAGCCCGCGAAAATCAAAGCCGAAAAGTAAGCATTTTCACCCCAGGAGGGGTACATATAGCAGGAACCAGTACAAGAAGGTAACAGACTTTTTCACATCCAGCTGAGGAAGCCTTTACGGCGAAACGCGTCCTGGGAATTTTGTGAGCTATAAGACTTTTGATTTACTGGACTTTTTTATGCCATTATAGTGATTTTTGTATATATAATTTTTTATATTTAATTGCACTTTTATTGTATATATAGTCAATAAAGTTTATATTTTGGAGATACACTATTGGCATTTTCCTGCTATTAACAAAGAAGGAGTGTGGTCCTTAATCCACATAAGCTATTGGATCAGAGCCGATGTGGATGGCTCTGGGTTTGTAAGTACCCTATTTCCCTTTCTATTATACACACATTCAGCCTACGTTATTGCACCAGAGGTATTTCCCTTTATACATTCCAGAATACAAGAAAGGAAGAGTTAAAAGAAGGGATAAGAGTCGCCTCTACGGACTCTGAAAGCGCTTCAATTGAGCTATACCCTTTTAGCTCCTAAAAGTGTGAGTGGGACCATTGTATATTTCTACCACACCTTACACTATTACAGATTTGCACTATGTTTGTATTTTTCTGTTTATGCTTTTAGGAAATTCCTATAAAGGATTATTGTGAATTATATAAACAGAAGGTATCTCTTAAATATTTTGGTGTTCATCACGGGGCATTATTTCTCCACTTTGATTATCCATTTGTATATAGCGCTTCACCCATACACCGGTTTTCACTGTATTCTTGAAAGATAAGATTGGGGTGTTACAGCAGCAGAAAATTAGTGGTATCTTTGATATTACTATAATATATTTTATCTATTATCAGCGCTGGTACTTTACCTGTTTACTGGACATGCTATGTCCAAGTGACAAGTTCTGTGGTCTATACAAATGACTAATCTTTGCTGCATGCAGTAAAGTGGTCTAAAAAGACCTTGTTAGCAGAGAAGGATAGCTGATATGAATAGTCTTAGTGGTAAGGATAGTAGCAATGTCTTAAAGGATACATTGTAACAAGTATAAGAGAAACTTAGATAACAAAGGAAAAATAAACTAGCATAAACGGTCAAACAGTATGGCAGTGTTGAAACAGTTTCTAACTTGTGCACATTGATACTAAGCTCTCAGCCCCCACATAGTAGACTTACCAGCTGCCTGCATAGTGCAAATTAACATATAGACACTAACCAGCTACCCCTGCTGCTTCAAGGCAGCCTATGTCCACTATCCAGCTAACACTGCTGCTTCAAGGCAGCCTATCTGATAAGTCCCAAAGTACTGACTTGAACTTAGCATTAAGACACTAAAAAATCATGGCAAACAAAGAAAGTCTACCCCGGGATAAAGTTAAAAAACATAATAGTGCATCGGCATAGAGCTTGACGCGCTTTTCGGTGAGAATGACTGCCTTTCTCAAGAGCTGGTAGGCATCTGAACAGTATCTGTTATAAGGGAAAAGGGGGAAGTGAAACTCGTCCCTCGCTTGGAAACCAACCAATAGCGTGAACAGGGAAGTAGACTGTGGGAGGTTCAAACCTCTCCTCCGATCTCCACCTGGTATTAGCATGTTGCACACACACATGGCAAAATTAGGTGTGTTTACATTCCGATATAGTTACTAAGTGGTATAGAGGAGGGGTCTATTTTCCATCCCTGCATGGTAAATCCCAGGTAAAGTAAACCATCAAGCAATCAAAGGATTGGGTTACTTGATGGTGAAAAGATTTTTACCGCGGAGTAGGGTAGCCCTTAAATTATGGGATAACAAATAGTGAGTTTGTCATCCCATGCCTCACATGGTTTGGACCCAGTGTGCAGACGAGTTTTATCAATGGGTGAAAAGGATCTCTCATTAAATGAAGAGTATACTGTAAAGCCATACACTGTATATAAATATATATATATCATCAACTAATGAAGAAAAAAAAAGGGTAAATCTACTAAGTGAATAATTTTTCCAAGAACGGGGCCGTCTGTGAGGGGGAAAGTGCCGACTTCTGTCTGTTCTCTACGAAACCCAAGGATTCCAGAAAGTGAACAACAAATTTTGTTTGCAATCGTAGCCTGGATGGGGTTTTGCAGACGATTAGGGATCTCTTCATCCACGAGAAGGTCGTGCTCCCGTGACATGCGTAACAGGGTTGGAGGAGAGGTTTGGATCGGTTGTGAGTAGAACTCCATGATGTAACCCTGCACCGTTTGTAAAATCCATGCGTCTCCCGAGATTGCTCTCCAATTCTGAAAAAAAAAAAGACAGGTTGCCAGCAGTACAGTTGGAAACAAGAAGGCCAGAAATGGGACCCACCTGTAGCGAAATGTCCACGACCTCTGCCTCTGGTTCCTCTGGCTCTATCTGAGCCTCTGTAGTATGAGGACCTCTGTGCAGTGGTCGGGTAGAAGTTGGATGAAAGAGGATAGGATCTGAAGCCTGTAGACCAGAATCGGCTGGTGGTTCGGCTCCGTTGCCAACCAGCCCTCCCAAAAACATCCCTGTTAGGTGGGGCAAGAAAAAAACAGTTTGAGCGATCATTGCACCTTACTTAAAGGGACACTATAGTCACCAGAACAACTACAGCTCATTATATTTGTTCTGGTGAGTTGAACTTATTACCTTGAGGCTTTTTGCTGTAAGCACTGTCTTTTCAGAGAAAATGCAGTGTTTGCATTACAGCCTAACTTCACTGGCCACTCCTCAGATGGCTGTTATAGATCCTTCCTGGGTCATGGCTGCCATCCAAACATTCAGTGTCTCCTCCCTCTGTATGCAGACACTGAACTTTCCTCATAGAGATTCATTGATTCAAATCATCTTTTTGAGGAGATGTTGTTTGGCCAGGGCTGTGTCTGACTTGTGCTGGCTCTGCCCCTGATCTGCCTCTTTGTCAGTCTCAGCCAATCCTATGGGGAAGCATTGTGATTGGATCAGGCCACCACTTCTGGTGATGTCAGAGGAAGTTCACAGGCAGAGGCAGCAGCTTCAGACTTGAATACAGGTAAGATTTTACTATATTTAGGGAGGCAAAGGGAGCTAAGAGGGCTAGATAGTGGTTTTAACACTATAGAATCAGGAATACATGTTTGTGTTCCTGAACCTATAGTGCTCCTTTAAGGTCATAAACAGGTTGATGTGCTTTTCCAATTGGGCAATGAAAGGTTCCCAGAAGAGAAGACCTTTTGCCAGGGGCCTGAGCTCGTTTGATCCTAATTCCAGCAATTTCGTGTCAATTCTTAGCAGAGCTTGCATTTTTGGTTTTAGTGGGATGGCATGGATTCGGCTGAGACAGGAGGAGGGTGAGAGTCTGGAGTTCATCCACTAGAGAAACTCATTGTGACAGTAGTCACCATCACTTGGAGCATAAGATGTGCACTTCATGTAGGTCCCCCTAACTTATGTTTAAGTTACCCTGTGCACATTTTATGTTCAGGGTTTGTTTGTATTGTATTTATGAAATGTTTTCTCTCCTGTCCTGCTGATGCTCTCTACCAACTAGGTGGATTTTGCTATGGAGTCTGTACAGCGCCACCTCTTGGTTGTTAATGATCTTGCAAGCCTGTACAGTGCTATCTGTTGGTTGCGAAGATTATGCAGCAGGTAAATGCAGCGACACCTGTTCATTGTAACTGTTATGTGCACTACCTGAAAGGCAATACTCAATAATTTGCATATGCAGGTAGATTTGCATATTATGGTTTCTTCCGCTACACTCATTCAAAGGTAAATATATATGTTCTTTTAATTTTCAAGTTTAAGGCAGACGTGATTTTTGCCTAGGTATTGGGCATTCTTTTTGTAGCTTATATTTGCCATTAAATTGATATTATAGTTTTCTGACACTATAGTGCTAAACTAACTATTTAGGTCCCTACGCCCCTTGCATCTCTTATCTCAATCTTGATGATCTCAGCCAAGCAAATTCTTTCCCATAGGAAAGTATTGGGAGACTATTGGGAGACTATTGTTCATGCGCGACAAAATGTGTCATACAAACAATGCATCTCTATGAGGAATTTTCAGCCCCTCCATGCATAGGGTGGAGACGCTGAATGCCAGTGCTGCATAATGTGTATCACTGGACTAGGAAGCACCTCTGAGTGTCTGCCACTAAAGGTGTTTCTAGGCAGCAATGTTATCACTACTGTTTGCAGTGCTAGCACTGAAGAGACATGTCATAGACACTAGAAAAACTACATTGAGCTGTAGTGGTCCTAGTGACTATATTGTCCCATTAAGTAAATGGAGTGTGTAATAACTTAAAATGTATTCCCAAAACTTTAACCCCTTAAGGACCAAACTTCTGGAATAAAAGCGAATCATGACATGTCACACATCATGTGTCCTTAAGGGGTTAAAGACATCTAAAAGAGCATGCCCTTGGCATTTTTATTTAAACCATGTGGTATGTATATTTACTGAGTAGCAAGACTCTCAATCAGTTAGAAATTATCCTTTGTAATTCTTGTCTAAGGAAAGACAGAGTTGACTAGTTTAAAAAATAACAAGTGCACACTATGTGGGGCATGGAGAAAATACACCAGTACACCAGGAGGCAGAAAGGAAATCATTTATTTGTAAAATAAAAGGGACTTTTTGCATATTTATCAAAGTGTGCATTTCTAACTAATGTTTTAAGAAATGCTGACCCAATTTCTGAAATATGTTGGATTTTTCACTACCATTTTTGCCCTGTGCTAAAAACGGATCTGGATGAAATCCATTTGTTATAACTCTCAATGCGTTAAGACTAAAATGTAACTTTGTAGCCTTTCGTAAATATAGCCTTGGTGTCAAATTTCTTTTATCTAGATTTTCTACAGATGGTAACCAGAAAATAGGGTAGGAACATATTTATTATTGTAATAAAAGTGATAATTTATGTTTTCAGGGTGTTTGTGGCTTATTGTACACATTTCTATTGTGCAGTACACAGTTTTACACAACTCAGTCTTATTACACAAATCTGTAATGCTGAAGGCCGACAGTTTTTCAAGCAGTGATTTTTGGTGCACTTTGTGATGTCCGGTAGATACGCTCTACTGCAAAAACAA